TGCCTAACAAGGCCTAAGAGTGATGGCAAGTCTAACACTTGCAGGGCAATGTTGTCTTATGCCAGATTAGGGTGACAATGTAACCAAAATTTAACAAACCAGGAAACTAGGGTAGTCTGCTCGCAAAAAAAGGCAGCCACAGCTACACATCTAGTTCAGGTACCACCACCAAAAGCCACTCCTTTGAATTTCTGTATAGGACCACACATATAACTGATGTGCAACTTATCTGACTATTCTCTAAGCCTGAGGTTGAAGTGCATATTCTTTCCGCAGGTGAAGAATAAAAATCTTAATTATCATAGTGCCAAGAACAATATTTTGCTGGACTATAATAGAAACTTAATTGACGTTTCCCCTTCACATTTTAAATAATCTATCAGTTTGGTATCATTCTAACCTCAGTAGACTATGTGACATTCTGAGTCCAAGTATATTGCTTTTTGTTGTATGTGACAGGAAGAATTTGCTCTGTTGCACTATGTGCCAATGGCTGTATTTTCCATGCCAAAAGCAGTGTTCTGACCTGGTAGTCCAACATGAGGAGTAACGTGCACCGCACGCTGACATCACCAGGTCTTTTCACCTGGAAGCCATCCGTTTCCTGGGTTGTGGGAGTTCTGTGCCACTGCCAAGGGAAAAAACAAGTAAGAAGGTCAGTCTGTCTTTCACTGATGCCCATCGAGGTGTATCTTGCACAGTGCGCCATGCAAGAATAAAACAAGTATAAGCCTTCTGAAGATCTTGCAATTAAAAAAAAAACAACCTCAAAAAACAACAACAAAACTCCCCAAATAATTTCTTGCCCTGCCCTTACAATTCAGCTTTAGTTCACAATCTGTTCTGCTGTTAGCATGCTTGTTAGGAAAAATGAGCACTATTTTTTCATAATTTTATACATTCTGTTCTAAGATGTGCACTACATCACTACCACATTTGTGTTTTTAGATTATTTAGATTCTGTTAGTAAACAGTCTTAAAAAGAATGGAATTTTGAAAACTCTGAAAAGACCTTAAATTTGATAATGAATGCAAGGTAACATAAGCAAGGTAGACAACGGACACATAGCTGTTTATCTGTGCTAGTATCAGGTTTGTACACAAAGCTGCACAACCCTCTTACCTCCACAAGATGGTTGTCAGGTCCATAAAGATCTTTGTCCAGTTCAATAACCAAACTCTTAAAAAAAGATGAAAACTTCCGTTTCTGTTTGCTGAGCTGTACAATTAGAAGAAACAGAAATGTTTAAGGTTGCGTGTATTAACTTGTGTTCTATCCTTCCTTCTCATGCTTTCTCTTTCTGTTGAACATTAATTCCCATGTAGACTAGAAGTGTGATCAATCTAATTGAGTCTTCCCTCCATCAAAAGCAGGGTAAGATGAAAAAATCTCAACAGTGGTGGAACAAGGACTGGCTGGTAGTGTGAACATGGCACCTGTGAGGGCAGGTCCAGAGAAGGCCACAACATTGATCCAAGGCCTGGAACACCTCTCCTGTGAGGACAGGCCAAGAGAGTTGGGGGGTGCTAGAAACCCATTATGTGAAAGCTGCAAATCTACGAAGCAAATCTATATATTTAACGGTAAATCTAGAAGTCATCTTTTTTTTTTTTTTTTTTTTTTTTTTTTTTTTTTTTTTTTTTTTGTAGTTTCAGGTAAAGGGGCAATGTTTTTAAACTGAAAGATAGTAGGTTTGGATTGGACACAAGGAAGACATTTTTTTACAATGACGGTGGTCAGACACTGGCCCAGGTTGCCCAGAGAAACTGTGGATGCGCCATCCCTGGAAGTGTTCAAAGTCAGGCTGGACAGGGCTTTGAGCAACCTGACCCAGTGAAAGATGTCCCTGCCCACAGCAGACTAGATAATCTTTGAACGTCCCTTCCTACTCAAACCATTCTATGATTCTAAGGACACTGTATACCTTTTCACATCCTGTTTTTTTTTAATGAATGCTAATGTCTTCATCTGATTTATCAGATGAGAGTAAATTTTAGAGATTAATCATACAATAAGTAAAAGTATTTCCTTTTACATTTCCCCTTTCCATTTAATTATCAGTATTCACTGTTTACTACACAGCTCATACTTTCTAAATTAAAAACTTGGAGGTCTATAATCACATAATCTTACTTTCCATAGAACACAGTTCATGGGATTTCAATGAATTTCTTCTTACTTAATACAGAAAATGGTTTAGAAATACATCCTCCTTCAATTTAAAATTTGACAATAACTGAGAAGCTATTTTTTTCCCAATGAAGAATCTTTCTTTGTTAAAATATATGCTCTAATTTCTAAACTGAATCTGTCTAACTTCAATTTGCAGATGTTGCACTTCGTCACCCTTTCATCCTCTACCAAAATTATGATTCTGATTCATGTACAGTAACCTCCAGACACACAGACGTGCCTTGAAAGCTTTGCCCTCTACGTACATGCATGTTCTCCATCTGTTTATCCTATAAAATACTCAGCTTGTTAAGTCTATTCAAATAAGTGACACCCTTATTAGGAAAGTCCACCCTTCACTAAGGAAAGCTAAATCCATCACTGAGGTTTCTGAGGACTTTAGAATGATAAAACTTTTCTTCCATCCTTGCTTCCTAACATTCCCATCACTCTGGCCTGACATGGCACCTTCCCAGCAGCAACAAGCCAATGCTGCCATTCAGAGATGTCTTGTCTGAGCTGCTGTCCCCCGTAAAGTCCACCACCCCACAGGACAATCTCTAGATCCTTGCCAGCCCCAGTGAAGCACAAGTAAGTCATACGTCATCCAGGAGCTTCCCCTCCACTCGCAGCTCCCATGAAGCAATGCTGCCATCAGAGTCATCAGCATCAGATTTTGCAGGATTAAATGTGTTGGAGATGTAAAGTCTTAGTTTCCGCTTTTGCTGTTATAGAAATAGAGAAAAGTACACATCCAGTTTAAGTCCAAGACCTGAGGAAGCCACAGGAAAGGTGATAGTCACACATTTAGTAGAGAATCTGCATGTTTAGTACAGTTGCACTAGGTTATACTAGAATTTAAGATTTGGTTATATTTAAGAAAATACACTGAAGATGAATCTGAAACTTTCTTTCAAGAACTGCTGGCTATACAAACATGCTAACATCGACCCTAAGTGGAGGAAAACAGGAGGCTGCAGGGCCAAGCCCACGAGGCTATACATCCTGTACTTCTGGATTAGATATTTGAGAAATCATTGTAAGAAAAGCACAATATTATGCCCTTCCTGCCTAAATCCTAGCCAGATTGCCAAGACTCAGCTGCAAACCTCTTGCTACATTAATGTCCTTCCTAGTTGCATCAGTTCAGATTTGTAAATGGCATTCACAAATATAGCTAATGCTGCAAATTACATGCCAGCTACATCTCTGCCCATCTTTATTCTACTATCAAGCAGAGCCTGGTAATATTCTTCCTACACACCCAAATACACCCCTGCCCTGCTGCCTAACCTTCCTCTTTAACTGCCTTTCACCCTCATCAAACATGCTGCAGCTCCAGCTTGCTGTGAGATCTGAGGCGAGGAAGGCCTTGTGCTTCATCCCTAACCCAGGTGCTCAAGTCTGTGAGAGGTACATTCATGTCTACCTGTTGTCATTTTTACAGGTTAAGGTTTCCCAGTCACTGTAGTGGCTTATGACTATGTTATTTGTCAGTGCCCTTCTCTCCCGTGCACCATGTAGAAAACCTGGCCATTAACTCTGATGCATGGATTCCAGAAAAGATATTGCCAAAAATTTCTTAAACTTCTTTGGAACTCTAATCTCAAATATCTGTTTATAATATAATGACAAAAAAGCTACAGTTTTCAAGTTAATGCAGTCAAAAAAACCCTTCATACAGCATAAGAAAGGAGTAGACTTGTGAAGCTCTCTCACTCACACACACACACACACACATATGGGAGAGAAGGAAGTTCTATACATCAGGGTGGGAAACTAAAAATCTAATACAGCATAGAGGAATGTGGGAGCAGAGATGTATGGCTGAAAAGGAACAAGAAAATGACTACATTTTGCCAAATCTAGAGAAGATAGTGACAGAAATGTTTGATGGAAATGGAGTATCAACAGTTTGCACTGAGAGGGAATGGGATTTTCAACAGTCCCAAGAGTCCGGAAAATTACAGGTTGACACAGATAGGAACAGGCAGATACGGAGAAAAGTAGAATATGGATTTCCAGGAATTTCTCCAATCTTTTCCACAGGATTTCTGCTGCTGAAGTGCTCTTTCATTATATAAAATGCAGGTTTTTTTAATGCCCCAGAATCTTTATTTGGTGTGGAGGACTTGTGAAGGACTTCAACATTTCTAAATTCAAAACTCTTCAAATTAACTTGCACATTTTATGCACCATTCTTAAATTTTATCCCCACCTGGATTATTTGCAAAACTGTATTTATATACACAAGCACCTTTTTTCTTAATAGTTCCTCCTGGATACTCTGCTGATATTTCAGGTTTATATCACTGATTCCATTTCCTCTTCTTTTGATTTCTAAAGACATTATCTCCATTATTCCTTTTACCCTGGAAACTCCTTTTCTCCTTGTATCTCCCCATTTCCAGATAGGAAATATGTCTGTTTCCTCCAAAGTCTGACATTTCATCACTAAGATCATCTTCTGCAATAATATCCTTATTCAATCTGAATATTTTCTAAGTCTTCCTTTCACCTAGCTTTCAGGCTCTAGCTTCCTTCTACAGTCCACCTAAAGCCAAGTTAGTAACAATGCCCAATTCCACTGTCAAATACAAAATACCTCTGCTTGATACTTTCCATGGTTTCCCTTTGCTAACCCCTTATCATTTTTCTTTCAAGTCATGCACAAGCCAGATGCAGCTTACTGCAGAACTGGTCTCCTGCTGGGTTCCCTATACTTTCCCTGCTCTGCCAAAGTCAGAATCTGCATATCATTTGTTTGTTTCTACCACATCTCTACCTTCAATCTACAGTGCTTTCTTCTACCCAACAAATTATCTTTCTCAAAATTAATCTCTTCCTCACTGTAACCCCTATAAATCAGCCCCCTTCAACATTGTCATCAGAAAGGAACTTAGAATAATTATGAACAAAAATAATAAGTAATGGCTATCCCTAAAGTTATCTTTTGTCCTACTCTCTATGTATCTTGATTTTAGATCGAAAACCTTTTAGCCTTCGACTCTAACATGTTACAGACACTGCTGACAACATGCAAGTACTGTGGAATGCTGAGCCTTTAGTTTCTGCTACGCAAAGACATTTATCCAACAAGCAAAATGTGTAACCTCCACCCTGGCAGCTGTCTTCAGATTTTGTCCCAAGAGATACTCCAAATTTGCAATACTATTAAGACAGTGATTATCTCCCAGTTGCAACCAAAGAAAGATCCTTGCTTTTGACTCCTAACAAACATTCAGGAAAACAGTCAAACAGGGCAACTGCACAGCTGCAAGAGGATCCCAACACCAAATGGGCTTTAAATCTAATAAAAATCTTTATTAGAACAAAAAGCAGAGTAAGGGAACATAAAGAAGAAAAACTCACATTTGCTGGGTAAAATGGAATAAATAAATAATTTTTTAAAAAGGTTTTGTAAACCAAATTTTCTCTGCTCACATGTCCTTGAAAACAGTTCATTTCTTCAGGCTTGCTCTTATTCCAGCAACTCTGTGATTTCCTGGGTTGCCGAAAACTCTGTAGGGTGATTTCTGGGGAAAAACAGAGAATCCTCTCTTTTTATTCCTTAAGATCCAACTGCATTTGTGCTATTGCCTTCTCTCAGGGGACTTCAAATTTCTGCTTTTTCTTCTGGCTTCTTACTCAACGAGGCGGTCCCTCATCCTTTCTGCCTCACTGAGAGCCTGACCCCGCACTCCAGCTGGCATCATCTCCCCCTCCCTCCGACGGCTCTACCAGGCCAAGTGCACCTTAAAACAGAAGAAACAGTAGCATTCCTTTCTACAGCTGAGCCACCAATCTTTAAAAGAAACCTACGTAGCCAACTGCAAACAGGGCTCAGCCATCACCATTGTCATAACCAGTAACTTTGGACCCGACCTGCAGAGTGCAGCCAGACCTACCAAGACGTTCTGGTAAGCAGCCTAAAAAAACTGTGAAAAAAGCATTTGGCCATGAACACTGCCTGAACAGCCAAACATGTCCTCCCCTGCACAGCACTGTACTGACCTAGAAACATTCAAGCCTTCACAACCATCTTTCTGAAGCTGCTGCCAACGTGTCCACCTCCTGTTTGTTCCCTTATGAGTTGCTGCTCCATTTTAAAATTCCTTCTGCCCTTCCCAGAATTCCCAGTACCACCTCTTCCTTACTCATGTCTAGTCTTGCCAGCACCACTGGCTCCTCATAAAAGCTACCTGGGAATGACTCTGCTCAAGACATTCTGGGAGGCTGACTATCTTATCTTCCAGTTCCAGAAAATAGACAACGGCACTTGAACTGGTCCTACATACACTTATCACCAGCAGTACTTCAAACAGTGGCATTTAAGGAAAATACTCTTAGAAATCTCCAGTAAAACATCAGAACCATGAACAAATGAACATTTTCTTTGGATCAGCAGGTTCCTTCTCCTCTATCACGACTTTTCTCCTGTCAGCTGTGAGACACTACCATCCTATCTGATGAAGCAAGGTCCTGGCAGAGATCCAAGAGAACGGTCTGAATCCCTCCTGAAAGTATCTACCCAGTGAGTAACAACTTCAGCACTCACAGCTATACTGCTATCGTAAGTATGCACAGTCTTGGAAGATGCCAGCTCAGAGATGATACAGCGAGGGAAAACTGAGCTCAAGGAAGAATATCAAAATAGCGCTGTCTAGGGTTTTATAGCCACTATGCAGACCATAAGTCTCCTTTGTTGAAGATACAGACCCAAAATCCATTGTATTCAGTTCACTTATCAGTACTCCTGGGTTCCACAATAATGTCAGGTTCATATCCAGAAGGCTCTGAGAGTGAGGTATCCTTCCATCTCCAGTTGAGCAACTCCATCTCAGCCCAACAGGAAATGATACAACACCAGTTATGTGCAACTTGGGTTACTCTGCAGCTTAAATAGAGCAGTGAAATATACTGGGGCAAGAAGTCATTGCCCTTCAAAAAATTCTGCTAATTTCTTAGCAATGCACATTGTAGCACAGATCTAAAATCTAATTTCCTCTCTTCATGATGGCTTCTCAGAGAACAGAAAAGCAACCAATCAAAACCTGCACCCTTGTTTTTCACTAGCAGGATTCTCAGAGGCTTGGAGCGAAAACTAAAGAGAAAACATAAAGCTCTAGGGCAAGAAGAGAGCATCACATTTCATCTCTTCAGGCACACTGAAGCTTTACCACCCACAAAGACAAAGCTCAACAGGAGGGAACTTCACGGAGGCTTGATCAACGCTGTGAATCAAATAATCTCTTGTCCAAAAATCAACAAATGCTTAATCTGCTTATTCTGTCAGATACACATCTTTAACATGCATCTTTGACCTGTCTTCAGCAAAATAAACTTGAAATAGCAGCCATATTCAACAGAAAAGCCTTCCCCAAAAAGCACTCTATTTCGCTTACAATCTCTCCTTGAGAAAAAGAAAAGGAAAAAAGCAGCATATGTGAGAGAAGACCGGTCATGTTAGTGATGAACGCTTGCAAAGGTCTCAGCTACAACAGCAGCACAAAACCTGCAATGAATGAAACAGATCTACGCAGGAGTTGTTGGAAATCCATCAAATCCTTCAGAAAACTACCCCTGGTTTATAATGCCACAGTTTTTTCAGTTTCCATTACCATTAAATCCCTAAAAAGTCAAATCAGAAACTAAAGCTTCTGAAGATACCATGTTTGTGTGATATCCCCAAGACAAATCTCCACCGACTGCTGAAGTTAAAATA